TGCAATTAGTATTTAGAGCAATTAATTCATCCTGAAGTTGTTGACAAAGACTTCAAAGAGGAACTATCATTTGAGCTAAGCCTCACTTCTCTATACAGAGATGCACTATGTAGAAAAGAATGGGAATAACAATTATAGGCAGAAAGAACAGCATTTAAAAAGGCAAGGAGGTTTTTGAGAATATGATATATTCAGGGCATGACTTAAAGTTTCACTGGAGAGAGTACTATATATGTTAGTGGAGCTGACATTATTTATTCACAAACATATTTATCTAATTCATAAGCATTCTTGGCACTTCATCTATAAGCCGTTGTATAGGTCCTGGAGAACTAGAGATGAACAATATGTAGTACCTGCCATCCAGGAGAGCTCATTCTCATAGTGGAGACAGGAATATGTTTGAATTGATGTAGTGAGATAGGAGCTATAATAGAGAGAGAGAATAGACAGAGAAATAGAATGAGATAGAAGCTATAATAATGTTTGTGAATGTGTTGAGTGTGTACATGCATGAGAGAGTGTGTGTGTGTATGTATGTGTGCATGTGTGCTTACTCAGAACATTCAGTCATGCATGACTGAATCTGAGGATGTGAGTTACAGACCTCCCTCATTCATGTGGATGTCCTCAAGACATTGAACTCAGGACAAGGCCTTATTCCAAGAGCTGGATCAGCCTTTAGTCCCCAAGTCTTGAAAGCGCACACCACAGGACCTGAAATCTTCCTGGGTGTCTGGCAGGATTGGGTGCTGGGCCATTTTCTTTCTGGGATCTTCTGGGGAGTCATGAACAACGTGCTTAAGCATAAAGGTTCTTCACTCTACCTTTATTTTCATACCATTGATATAATATGAATAACTTCAGAGGCCTGTTGAGAGGAATAAAGAAGTGAATACATTATAAAGTACTTAGAATGGCCTAGCATATGGTCAATGCTATTAGGAAATAGTACTATAATAATTATTATTATTATCTTATTGTTTCCATGGATATCATAGACTATCTGTGTTAAATGGAATCATAAGTCTGCCTTGTCTAACCTCACATCAAGTACAGGAACTTTATCCCCTAAATCTTCTAATACTTGTACTTCTCTGTAAGGCAGCCCTCTCTACTTTCTCTTCAGCTGAATGTTAAAGAGTCTCTATACTGAACTAGAATCTGCCTTCTTGTGATGCCTACCAATGTTATTCTGGGATAAGAAGTTTTTTTCCCTTTTTTTCATTGCTTTTTAAATAAATAAGTATTACTTGAGACTGCTCTATGCCATCACTAGAGTTAAAGAAGTAACACAGTTTATATTTTCAAGAAGCCTACTCTTTGAAGAAATATCCAAATATCCATTTACTTTTATTGTTCATTGTTAAGAGACAAACTAGATGATAAAAATCTTTTTATATCATTTTTTAAAGTAGAGAAAAATAATGACCACTCAATAGTCAGGGAAGACTTTAGAGAAGAGCTGTGTTAAAGGGTAGTCACTTATACATTGATTTGTTCATTTAAAAAATATTTAAACCTTTGTTGACAATTGACTATATGCCTCATCTGTCAGTAGGAGTTCACCAAGTATGAAGATGGTGGGGAAGGCAGTTCAGGTAGAGGAAAGATCAAGTACAAAACATAGAGATATTGAAGGTATGGCACAAAATTGTGTTAGGGAGTTATGAGTAGTTGAATATAAACAAAGCAAAGGTTTCAAGGAAGGTGAAATGGGTGATGATGCTGGAATCACAAGGCCATCACAGGCCTTGTGGGCCAAACTGAAATGTGAGGATAGAAAGTTGCTTAAAAGTTTTTTAGCAAGAGAGTACTATAAAATCAGGTTTTTCTGGAAGTAGAAGGTAAGGCTGTAAGTTGGATGGCAAGGGGAAAAGGAGAATGGAAAGATACTGTAGGGATTATGAATACAGGATTTTGAGCCACACTGGCCTAAGTTTAATACAGGATCTGCTGCTCACTGATCTTGTGACCTCAGAGAATCTTTTTTTTCCCTCTCGTGGCTTCAATTTTTTTTATCTGTGTAAAGGGGATAACAGCCCCAGTTCATAAGGTTATTGTGAGGATTAAATGATAATGCATATAAAACACTTAATACAATGGCTGAGACACAACAAACAAAATAAGAGAAAAATCAGAAGTATGTCCCAAATGAAGGAGACATTTTTTCCTCCCTAGTTTCAGCCCCCTTTGCTTTATTCTTTGCATTACTTGAAAGTCTTGAATTTTGCCTGCTGAGCCCTCCTCAAATAGATTTCTGTTTGTATCCTTAGGAAAGTCTAGACAATCTAAGCACTGAACAGCATCTCAGTTTCCCTGAATGATTGCCCCAGAGCCCATTAACTCTACTTTGTCTGCTAATCAGGTTAGGCATCCGGGCTCACCCAGGAGAGGAGCTGGAACAGCTGCAGGCAGTAGATGGATTCTCCTGATAGCACATAATCAAATTCAGTGGAGACAGCAGGCATTCAGAGTCAAGTTGCAGAACTTGGCTGGAAGAAGAGAAAACTGTGGTGACAGAATTTAAAGCATATACCCTGGTTGGATATACTGGTAAATAAAGAGCTGAAAACAGCATCATAACCTGAGACCTTATGAATATAGGAACCGCTTGTGAATGAAGACATACTCATCCAGGGCTCTAAGAGACTTAAAACTCAGACCTTCAAGTCAGGGCCTGAAGTGACTATCACAGACCATTGGCTGGAAACATTAAGGCCACTTTCACAGACATTATCCCCAAATACAAATCAGGAGCCCTGAGACTCGCATATGCCGCCAGCCTGCCTCACTTTCCTGCATCTTCAATAACATCACAAATGTAGAGCATCATGTATTCTGTCCATACCCACATCCTTGCACTGGTCTGTTCTCTCTCTAATCTTGACTCTTCACTGCTTCCTTCCCTCTCCCTCTTCAGACCTCTTCATTTTCCACTTTTTCCTCTGGAACACAGCTCCATGGTTAATAATCCCACTTCGATCCTCAGTCTTTAAGTTCACTTCTTCCTTTACCCCTTGTCTTAACCAAACTAGACTTGGTTAAAAGTCTATGATGCTTAAATATTTGCTGAGTAAAACAATGAACTGAGGGACTCTCTTGGAGGACATTACTTCGCCCATTGCCCTCTCAAGAAATCCTCATTCTTCTACACTGCACGTACAGAAGGATCAGGAGGGGTCACTTTGCTCCTCACTCCTCATGCACCTTCCAAGCCATCATTTCTCTACCTCATCACTGATAACTCCAGAATTTAGGGTAGCAATCTAGTTAGAAGAAGGAGTGCCTATAAGATTTGTCTTAAAGATATATTTCCATTATAAGAAGACTGTTATTTATATATTTATTGGCAGTGGCTTTGGGAGTAGGAGGTAAATGGACTCTATTGGTGGGCCAAAGTGCACCTCTTAACAACCTTTGATACTACTGCTGACTTTTATGTGAAAGTTCTGTTTCTTTGTTGCTTAGACTGCATATCTATCATCCTGTCCTCCTCCTCAGCACTTTCAGTTTCTTACACATCTTAGACCCCATGGCCCATCATTTTAGTCACTTTTTCTAATATAATCAAATACCAGAATATTTAATTAAATTTAATATAATCAAATGTATGTACAGGCATCAATGCCATGTAACCACTGCTGTTCCATAGGAATCCCACAGCTACACCTCCCACCCTCGCCACTTAGCTTCAGAAAGACACTAAGGTAGAAACAAGATTCTGCAGCAAACACTAGTATGTTATAATGCTCTCTGTTCTGTTAACAACTTTCTCCAGGTTGTTCTTCCTGGAGCCAGCACCCTTCTTGTTCTTCTCAATTTCCCCTCCTATACCTTCCTCCTCACATTTTTCTTCATATGCCCCTGTAGTGTATGGCTTCTCAATTGAATGCCAAGCCAATACAGGTGAGCCTTACATCCTTCATCCACTGTATCTACACTCCCCAGGAGCATCCCTTCCTTTAAGGATCTTCCAAATCAACCTTGGTGGCTAAGACTTATTAAGCAATTGATTAAAAAAAAAAACAAGAGTTACACAAAATGTGGAGCTGAACTGGCCTGGAATTTTCGATGTAGTATCATGGAAAGGGCACAGTTTGAGGTGAGTTTTGCAGGATAAGCAGTATTTGAAGTAATAGAAAGAGATATTCACTGCAGGGAAACATTATGAAGAGGTTGGATATCATAAATCATGAGAGGGTAGAGTAACTCTTTAAAGTGGATAAACGCAAAGACATTATGGAAACTATGACTGCAACATTTTTGTTTCCTGTTTGCATCTCAGTGTTTAGCTTAGCAAAATTGCCCACACAGCGTATTTTAAAGCACTATTTCCCAAAGTGCTTCTGTGGAAAATTAGTCTCATGGAATGCTCTGTAGAAAATAACAGTAATAATTTAGAGAAATGTTGAATATTTTTCCCTTCCTTGAATATATACAATGCATATGAGTTTATTTTAAAAGTTCTTAATTAGTCTTATAATTTAAAAAACCTGACTTCCCCGGGAAAAGTAGGCCTCTCCCATTCATATCTCTACAGCTTCACAGTCTTTATTTACCTTCAAGTCACTTTTAGAAACTGTAATTATATTGTCTACTTATTTTTAATATTTTATTAACCACTTCCCCACTATTCTCCATGAGGACAGAGATCTTGCTTGTCTTGTTTATTATTGTACATCAAGGCCTGGGCATGTGATGCCACATATGTTAGGTGCTCAAAATAAGGATAAACAAATGAAGAGAATGTATCTATTTTTGTTTAACTTTGCATTTTCCAAACAGTTGAGAAAGGGTAGCACTGAATTGTGAGCAAAGAGCTGCCAGATTCAGGTCTGTTTTAGACACTATGTGGTTTGTGTTGTCATTCTCCCAGCCCCATTACCTATGGTTCTTGATGTTACAGTTTTTCTACTAGGCATTGATTTATATGTGTTACCTTTTGAAGCTTGAACAGATGTCTCATATGCCCAAATTTCTTTGTTTATATATTTTAGGCAAAGGCTGCCACCCAAAAATGTTTACTACTACCGCTGCCCAGACCATAGGAAGAACTATGTGATGTCCTTTGCCTTTTGTTTTGACCGAGAAGAAGATATTTACCAGTTTGCTTACTGCTACCCATACACATACACTCGCTTCCAACATTACCTTGACAGCCTGCAAAAGAGAAACATGGATTACTTCTTTCGGGAGCAGCTGGGCCAGAGTGTGGTAAGGCCTGTGCCAGGTTTGGGTTACTCGTTTAGAAACAGGCAATCTTGGGATAGGGACTTAGCAGTGGGTTTTTATGGAATGCAAATAATGAATAGTGGTGCTTTCCAGAACTTTTTAATAATTTACTAACTACAATTAAACAATTACATAATTAGTATTAATTTAACAATTCTTTAAAGTATTGTTTTTATTGTGTGATTTATTGCGACTGTGGGGCACCATAGTAAGATATGAGAAGAAGTCACAGAGTAAGATATGAGACAGATGGTTGTTTTTCTGAATGAAGCTGATAAAGCTCTCTAGCAAAATAAAAAGTTAGGTGAATCCCAAAACCTCTGAGAGAAAAGGAGACTTTTACTAGGTGTTACAAAAGGTATGAAAGCATTTTATTACTGTGAGCTTCTGATATGAAGAACACATTTCTTAGTGAACCAAACTTGCCTGCAGTACAGGTTAGCAAGTGGTGTGCAGTTTGGTTGTGATGGCCACAGTGTGCTCTGTCTCTGTCATCCATCAGTTTCCGACTCTTTTTTCCTGCTCCAGGTTTAGTTTCCTGGGTCTAGAGATTTCAGTTTCCCATTCCATAATAGTTCCCTATTGCTGATGTGACAAACTACCACAAACATGGTAGTATAAAACAACACAAAATTATTTTCTTATACTTCTGGGAGCTAGAAATACAAAATGAGTCTCACTGGGCTAAAGTCAAGGTATCAGCAGATCTATGTTTCTTTTGGAGGCTCTAGGGGAGAATTTATTTCCCTGCCTTTTCCAGCTTCTAGAGGCTGCTTGCATTTCTTAGTTTGTAGTTCCCTTCCATCTTAAAAGCCATCAGTGGCTGGTTGAGTCTTTTTCATGCTGTATCACTTTGATATGAACTCTCTGTCACTTATAAGGATCCTTGTGCTTATAATGGATTTACCCAGATAAATCCAGGTTAATCTCCGTATAGCAAGATCTTTAACTTAATTACATCTGTGAAGTCTCTTTTGTTATGTGAGGTAACATAGTCACAGGTTCTGGGGATTAGGAGTTAGACATCTTGTGTTGTGGAGTGGTACATTATTTTGCCTACCACATCTTCCTACTTCCTTTTCTTTTCTTTGTTCTTCTTTTTTTTTTTTTTTTTTTTTTTTTTTTTGAGATGGAGACTCACTCTGTCACCCAGGCTGGAGTGCAGTGGAGAGATCTCGGCTCACAGCTCACTGCAACCTCCGCTTCCCAGGTTCAAGCAATTCTCCTGCCTCAGCCTCCCAAGTAGCTGGGATTACAGGCATGCACCACCACACCCAGCTAATTTTTATATTTTTAGTACAGACAGAGTTTCACCATGTTGGCCAGGCTGATCTCAAACTCCTGACCTCAGGTGATCCACCTGCCTTGGCCTCCCAAAGTGCTGGGATTACAGGTGTGAGCCACCGCACGTGGCCTCTTCCTACTTCCCTCTCTTCCTCTTGTGCCCAAACTAGGATCTGAAGTTGTTCTCCATACTGAATTCATAGGTTTTACTCTTTTGTTGTCAGCAATACTTTGGTTGCTGAATAAGAATAAGCAGGTGCTAATTTGGTTTTATGTTTTACTCTTCAAAAAGTGTGGATTGTGCCCCTAAAAGAGGCATATTGGACGGGCTCTGAACGTTCTAAATGAAGATACTGGTGAAATTGGCAGAAGATACGGTACTTGGGATTCTGATATGTGTTGGTAGTTAAATGGACTCAGTCTAGTGACTGTGAGTTTCACATAAAAGTGAGACCTATTTCTAAATAAATCCAGGATACCTCAAAAAAGAGAGCAATAAAGAGGGCCTATGTGCAACTCAGGTACCTGAGAGACAAATCTGGTCATGTTATTCTTGTAGTCTGAGATTCTGCATGCACTATGATTTTCCTAAATATCTTTTCTCTACTCCAACCTTCTTCCCAACAGTGCTTCTCATGGTATCTTCCCATTTGTATCTGTTGCCTATATATTTTGAACTGAAAATTGGTATACATGATGTATGAGTCAGCATGCTAGCAGGAAACAGACGGCAGCCTCAAATTAGGATAATTTAAGGAAGGTTTAATAAATGGGCTATTTACAAGGTGTGGGCAATGCATGCAATGACAAGGTATAGTGAAATTCTCTAGGGCTATTAACAACTGAAATGGAATAAAGGGAAGGAATGGTTAACAGAACACAATAGTAGAGAGTCATTTAGTGGGTCATGTCGGAAAGAATTAGTGACCTTCAGTTAAGGTGCACAGTTAGCCTGAGATAACTCCATAGAGAATACTGAGAAAAATAAATATATAGACCTCATTCTCTTACTTATATCTGATCTTCTTCTAGGGGTCCATATTGGCCAACACAACCAGAATCCAGAGAACAAAGGAGCCCATTAATGTAATTCATACAGATCAGCCGCCCAGGGAAAATAAAAGGGTATAGATGGGTGGAGAGTAGATGTAGAGGAATATATAGAATACATTAAGTGCACCTGGTCCAATTAACAGTATATTACAGAACAGTGAGATTATTTGAGAATGGATTGTCAGAAAAATTCTGAGATTAATATTTGCTAGACATATGAATTATGATATTTTTTAAGAGAATGGGAAGTTCATTCATTACTCATAACTTTTAAGGCAGGATCTGTACATTTCACTCCTGTGCCCACCCCAACCTTCTCTTAGATTTATGACAGCCAGAATGTAAGTGCACAATGAATGTTTATTGAGTGAATGATTGAAACAATGAAAAAATGAATTAAGAACATGTCTGGAAGCAGTGTGAAAAGCTGAGAACAACAGAAAGCTAATAAGAAAAACAATAGGATCAGTTAAGCTTTCAATAATAGATATTCAAAATAACATATATAAAATAACAACAACTTAAACAAGATAGACATTTATTTCTTTTCAATGTAAAAGTCTAAATGTAGGCAATCCACAACTAATTTTGTGGCTCTACTCCTTGAAAGCCTCAAAGAGTCAGGTTCTTTCAGCTTTCTTCTCTGTCATCCTTGGAATGTGGCCCTCAACCTCATGATTCAATATGGAATTCTACCATGATATCTGTAGTCCATGCAGCAGGATGAAGGGGATGGTGGAGAAAGAAGAAGCAGTTTTGTGGCATTGTCATTTACTAGAACTCATTCACATTTAACTAAAGGAAGGACAAGAAATGAAGTCTTTGTTCTGAGTAGCCCAGTTTTAGCTAAAAATTGGTGGTCCTCTATGTGGGAGAATTGACATTGAGGGACAGCTTAAAGTCTCTGCCACAGGAAATCTGAATTCTGCTTTCAGCTCTAACATGAAACTACTTGTATTACCTTGAATTCTATGTTCCCTTTCTGGGGATAATTTTTTCACCTATAAAGTGAGAAAATTGGACTTGAATAGAAGTTTTCAGATTATCCTTGAGGAATTCCTCCGTTGGAAAAAGTAATAGTTTGAAACTCCTGTCCTACTTCAGAGCCTGTGAGAGATAGTGTGGAGATATATAACAAGGTATACATACAAGTCTTCGTATACTTCCAGGAGCATATTCTGTACCGGGGAAAAAGGGCATGTCCAAATAGCTCTGATACTTTAAAAAATATATAATTAAGGATATAATGAGTTGTTTAAGGAGTTAACAATAAAAATAAATGTCATGGAGAATGTCTTTAAAAGCTAAAGATTTTGTTTTAAGCCATCTCGAAAGATGGGTAGGATTACAGAATACAAAGTTGATAATAAGGTAGCCCAGAAAGGCAAAAAAGCCAAAGCCATTGCCTGGTGGTGGTAGTTGGTTAGAAGTCTGGTTTGATTGGAATAGGGAATTTATGGGGCTACTGGAAGATAAGGCTAGACAAGAAGATTCAGGCAAAACTCTGGAAAGCCCTGATTTTCATATTGGCTACATCCTTTATTCAGATTCTACACAACACACATACTAGGTTTTTTACTTTATATAGACCATTTGATTTTTTCTCAATAGTTTTATAGAGTAGGCAGAACTGTCCCAGTTTGGGGATAAATAATCTGAAGATAAACAGTTAAGTTTCTTCGTTAAGGCCACATGACTAGTTCATATCAGGGCCAAGATTTAAACCCATGGCTTCTAACACCACGTCCTGGCCCTTTGATGGACATTTTAACACCCAAAACGATTTTTGAGAAAGAGTTTTACCTTATCCAAAGCAGCATTTTAAGAAAGTACATTTAATGGAAATACAGGGTGTACCTGTGCCATCAGGACTAGATCAAGGAAGCTCTGTGGGTTGGCTCAATCCTGTGTTCTGGGCCTTGATGCAGATACTAGAGATTTTAAGGCTTTCTGGCATACTTTTGCAGACAGGATGATTCTCAGTTACCAGGGTATTTGATATGGCTTGTGTCTGAAGGCATCACTGTAATTAGTTAATCCTTATTCCAATTCGGAGGGAGGGTAATTACAAGTGGGAAGGCTAAACATGCCAGCATCCAGATCTTAGGGAGACCAGGCAGGAAGGAAGATTTTGAATTTTCAGTGCTAGAACTATTAATCACTATGGTCATAGCTGTCACTGGTACTAATTATATCATCCAAGAATATATTTTATTTTGTTACCAGTAACCCCTTTGAAACCTACTGAACAAAACGCCTTTGAACATGTATTTAAAACCGTGATCTGCCATTTAAGATAAGGACATCATGAGAAAGATATTTTTATTATTTTTTAATAGCTTTATTGAGGTATAACTTGCAGTGTATAAAATTCATGCATTGTGAGGGTATAATTTTATGATGTTTAGTATCTTATGATTTTTATAGAGTTGTGTGTCTATTACCACAATCTGATTTTAGAACATTTCCATCATCTCAAAAAGTTCCCTTGTTAATTCTCACATCCAGTCCCAGCCGCAGGTAACTACCGATCTGCTGACACTATAAATTTGCCACTTCTGAACATTTCATATAAACAGAATTAGAGCATATGTAGTCATCTCATGCATCTTGCATTTTTCACTTAACACTGTAATATGGATGGA